AGCAAAGTAGTCAGAGAAGGTACATAATAGATTGATGCTGGCTCTCATTCCTAAAATCAAAAGTCCTCTGTATCAAGTTTTAAGAAGTCTGAAGGGTACTTTTTGGTACCAGCTTAATTTCATCCCATTGCTACCTCAGTAACAGATTCCGGCTCAGGTTCTGCATGTCTAACAGTGAATGTAGAAGGTCTGTTCTAGCATTTCATTACCCAAGGATACTGCTATGGAATGCCACAGAGGAAATAGTAAATGAGACAGTGTTCAAGAAATAAACTGACAGTACAGTGATAACAGACACTGTAATCCTTTGCTGTCTGAAGATAGCAATGTACAGAGACAATTTTCCATAGAAGAATGTGGATCCTAAAACTAGATGCCAGGGCTCGGATCCTACCTCTAACCCCTTCACAACTGTGTAACCACAGGAAAATTCATGTTTTTGTTTGTTTGTTCTGTTGTACTGAGGTTTGAACCAAGGGTCTGTGCAAGGACTCTAATCTCATGCTTTTATTATTTATGTGTGTGTGTATTTGTGTGTGTGGTGCAGGCCAGTCCTTGGACTTTAATTCAGCATCTGGGTACTTTCCCTTAGCTTTTTCACTCAAGGCTGGTACTCTGCCATTTGATCCATGGATCCACTATTGGCTTTTTGCTGGTTAATTGGAGGTAAGAGCTTCACACACTTTCCTGCCCAGGCAGGCTTTGAATCAGAATCCTCAGATCTCAGCCTCCTGAGAGGTAGGGTTTTAGGTGTGAGCCACTGGCACCCAGCTGAGAAAATTCTTTTTATCTCACTTTATGTTAAAGATGAAGACATGGTATTGGCGTTAGAGGATTGGTATGAGAACAGAAGCAGATAATAACAGAAAGCACTGTGTGACATAGGGCATTATATAATAGCTAGTAGAATCCAAGCTTCAATATCACTTCTGCTTCTGATGTTAATTTTAGGACTTGCCATGGTTCATGTTTTTTCACTTGTGGTTCAACTGCACAGTTCAGGACTGACACTGTTCAAATTTTCAAAGTTAAATCCAGTCCTCAGTGCAAACTCTGACTTTAATTTTAGGACTTGCCATAGTTTATGTTTATTTTAGTCAGTTGCAGGGCTTTAACTCAGGACCTGGGCACTGTCCCTGAGCTCTTTTGCTCAAGTGCTCTACCACTTTGAGCCACAGTGCCACTTATAGCTTTTGAGTGGTTAATGGAGATCAGAGTCTCATGGGGGACTTTTCTGCCCAGGCTGGCTTCAAACTGAAATCCTCAGATCTCAGTCTCCTGAGTAGCTAGGATTAAAGGTGTAAGCCACCAGTGCCTATTTATTTTTTTACTTTATTTATTTATTCTTTTTTATAGTGGGATCAAGCCCAGGAAATTGCACTTATTAGGCAAGTATTTTGCTACTGAGCTACATCCCAGCCCTGTTTAATCATTTGTAGTTCAAGTCACAGTTTAGGACAGATACTGCTCAAATTTAGTTGTGTGGGCTTTTTAAATCCTCAGTTCAATCTCCAAACTCATCCCTTGAGTATGTCTTAGTAGGCATACAAGATTTGATTTATCCAAGAACTATATAGTGGTGGATGTGAAGAAAAATACACTCCCAAAAATGAGCACATTACCTTAATTTTAATAAGCTTTTGAGGATTTCTTCTCCTACACCGGTTAACTTCAATGCTGCGCCTGTTTTTGGGAGCTGCCATCCAAAGGACACTATCCAAAAGGCTGAGATTCTCCTTACTTGCACTGGCATCATTTGCTAGTTCTGTAAATATGCCTGGACCCTGGAGTGCTAACGCTGGTCCTGTGAGATAAAACAGGAAGACACATAATTCAACTCTAGATCCAAAATGACTAGACATAATTGTCCTAAATAATCAACAGTGATGGCATTAAGCATACACATACAGATATAGTCAACAGGTAACCTTAGCTATTAAGTACTAAAACTCTCAGAAAAGGCTATTTATTCATTTATTTATTTCTCGTGTTTGCTAGGCAAGTGCTCTACCACTTAAACCATCTGTTAGCTCCAAAACGTAAATATGTATTTATTTATTCATTCATCCATTCATTTTTGTGATTTATACTTTGTGCTGATTCTGGGGCTTGAATTCAGAGCATTACACTTGCCATCAGCTTTTTCACTCATGGCCAGTGCTCTAACACTTGAGCCTCATCTCCAGTTCTGGTTTTTTGCTGGTTGGTTGGAGGTAAGAGTTGTGAATTTGTTTGCTGATCTAGCTTCAGGATGCTCACGTCTAAGCCTCCTGATTATAATAGTGAACCACCAGATGCAGGACACCAAAGAACATTTTAAACATTAAATTTCTTACTAGAACATGCTTCAATGAAAGTCTATTGATTTTCTCTCCTCATGCAACATGGACTTGAGTTATTGCTAAGCATGAATTTAAAATGCTCAACAAGTGCCAAACTTAAAACAAAACAACCAAAGTCACTCAACTGTTCACATTCCATATGGTAGATGATGCATTCCCTAAATTCACTTCTCATCTCCACTGACATAACTCTGAACTGAACTTTTTTTCTTTTTGTTGGTTCTCGGTCTTGAACTCAGGGCCTGGGCACTGTACTTGAGCTTTTTCTGCTCAAGGCTAGTGTTCTATCACTTGGACTACAGGACCATTTACGACCTTTTCTGAATAGTTTATTGGAGATGAGAGTCTCATGGACTTTGCTGCCCAGGCTGGCTTTAAACCATGACTCTCAGATCTCAGCCTCTTGAGTAGCTAGGATTATAAGTGTGAGCCACTGGAACCTGACTGTACTGACCTTTTTAACAATTACCAGCTGAGCACTGGTGTGGTTCATGCCTATAAGGAGTAATTTCAGGAGGTAGAGATTTAAGGGCTGAGGCTTGAAATCAGCCTAAGCAGAAAAGTCTATGAAATTCCATCACTAAAACAATCAGCAAAAAGCTAGGCTGGAGGTGTGGCTCAAGCACCAGCCAAGCAGGCAAGCTGAAAGAGTATGATGCCCAGAGTTCAAAGGTTAGTATGGGGGTTGAGGATGTACTATTATATTCACACCCAGTAGGATCCTTTATGATGTAACTTTGTAGGTCTGCTAGTTCATTAAACTCTTCAGCATTTTTCATTCCTGTCTATTCTCTAAGAAAGGTGTTAGCTCACCACTTATATGTGATTATTCATTCACCTATCAATGCTTCACTTTTCCCTAATGGGGGGGAAAGGGATTGAAACTGGATCTCACTGTAAGTCCAGGCTGGCCTCAAATTCTCCATCTTATTGCCTCAGCCTCCCAGTGCTCAGATTACAGTATTGCACACAACTTAATGTCTTGCTTTTCCTTTCCTAAACTGCTTATAAAATCAGAGTTTCCTTTATTCTTTACTATTTTTCAGAGTTGTAATACTTTGAATTTTAAGAACTCATAGAAGTATATACATAAAGCCCTCTACTCTTACCAGTATTCCTATTCGATAGACCTAAATTAATAAACATAGCCCGATGGCTAACAGCAGACTCTGTTACCCTGAGCTTCTTTGTTTAATTGCAAAGTGGAGAAATCTAACAGGACTGTGACAAGAAACACAAGTGTTTGGCATACAGTGGATCATTCTTTCTCTGTATACATCATTCTCACAGTTGGGATTCTTTGCAAGTGTCAAAGTGATAACCGTTTGAAACACAAGGTACTTCTAATGAAAGTCTGTTCCTGCAGGGAAGGCCAGAATCAGAATTGATCTACATAGACCTTAAACTCCACAGAGGTGAACAAATTGCATTCCACCTATATCAGGAAGAGGAGTCAAGAGGGTCCTTGAGTTGACCTTCTTTAACCTGAGAACTTAAGAACACTGCATGTATGACAACTGTCCAAAATACCTGGATTCTAGGATGTTATTAGTGTCATTTCACATGTCCCCAGGATGATCTGAGTTCCTTTAAAATTGCCTAAGAAAGTAACATGCTTCCAGGAAAATTTACACTTTTGCTCTGATCAACACACACTTCATAGGCACAGGAACTCTTTTACATTTACTCAGAAGGGCTCAGTACTGTAAAGTTGTACTCAGAAGGGTCTTCTCTTGGGAACTAAAAGCAATTCCTGTGAAATATAAGCCACAAAGGATAGGATTTCAGTCTCCCAGTCACTACTGGCAAGACTCGATAACGTTGAGATAGCAGACTACTCGTTTCAGTTCTTTGGCTCCTATAAACTCCCACCCTGTTCTTCCGTGCTGATTTGTGTAAATCAGCTTTACACAAACTGGAATGGAGCTCCTATGAGTAGGGATATGATGACAGGTTTTACATAATCTATCTGTGAAACAAGTTAAGGTGTGTAAGGACTCATGGGCCAACTGGCTGGTTTTTTTCCTGTGTGTGTGCTGGTCCAGGGGTTTGAACTCAGGACCTGGGCGCTGTTCTTTGGCTTTTCCACTGAAGGCTGGCACTCTACCACTTAAGCCACAGCTCCACTTCGGGCTTTAGGATTTTCCTGCCCCGGCAGGCTTCGAACCGGGATCCTCAGATCTCCACCTCCAAAGTAGGTGGGAGTACAGGCGTGAGCTACTGGCGCTCGGCTGACAGGGCGGTTTACGTCACCGAAGATGTCCCCCAACACCAGGCCTCAAATCAGAACGCTGAATCGTAGGCCTTTGCCCCCTCCTCAACTCACTCCCCAGATTCTTCTGTCACCTACCCCACGGAGGGCTGGGAGGGCTTGGCCAGCTTTGTTGAAGTTTCCGTTGCAGCAGCCTCCAACAGTCTCGGAGTACACCGCGACCCGAAGGCCACGGCGGGAACACCAATATGAGCACGGAGGACACCATCTTTCTCGCCGGAAGACGGAAATCACAGAGCTGAGTCCCGTTCCCTTTAGGAGCATGCGCACAGTCCCAGAGTGGAGCAAAAGCGCCTTAGGGAACTACAACTCCCAGCATGCACTGGTAGAGCCTCTTTGAATTTTCTCCAATCATGGAGAGACGAGGAAAGAGAGGGCGGGGAAACTAAAAGAAACCGGCTTCAATACGCATGTGTGCAGATGCTCCGTGGCTCTCCGAGTGAAGATGGCGGAGCGAGGGTACAGCTTTTCGCTGACTACATTCAGGTATGGAAAGGACCCCCCAAAATGCTCCCTGTAGCAAAGGTTGCAGGAGCTCACCTGAACTCCATTTTTGTTTGTCCTGGCTCTGACTTAGGGCTTCCGGCGGGTCCAGCAGGGCTGGAGGTGGAGATGCAGCTTTGCAAAGTCATTTGCTCAGCCGGCCCGAGCCCGAGAGGCGCCAGTGCCCGGGAGGCCTGGAAAGCGCGGGACTGGGGGCCCGGGTCTAATTGGAGGTCCGGACGAACGAGGGGTCAAGGCTGGGGACGCGGGCAGAACTGGGGCCTGGGGACTGGGGGGCCCCAGGCCCGGCATTCACTCTCCCCCGGTGACCCGGAAAGACAGGAGTTGGGGATTAGCTAGGTCCAGGCGGCCCATGTACAGCTCAGGGTTTCCTTCCCGGCCCACGGAGGCTTGCCTGATGCTGGGAGGTTTTGAAATCTGAATCTTTGGGGGGGGGGGGAAATGATCTTTTTTATTTTCCCTTTTTAGGAAAAAAAAAGCTTAGCTCTGCAGTTGTGTGTGAGTTTTGGTGTTGGCTTGGCACTAGCGTCTTTGAAAGTTGTTGCTTTCAGTTTCATCCTGTGAGGTCTACAAAATAAAAAGCGCTCATTTTCTATCCGGATTTTATGTTCTTCCCCTTCTCCCCCTCCCACCCCCCCCGTGTACGTTGTATATATTGCTTTGGGAGGTGGAAGAGTGGAGGATCTGCTTTCCAAATATTTCTTTCTGGCTCTTATTTATGCAAGAAGGAGTTCAAGAAAAAAGTATGCTCTTGTTCCTAGTGTAAGAAAGTAATCTCAGAAGGATTTTCAGAATCAATCATAATATGACCATTTTCTTAAGAGTTGGCAGCGTCCCCTTCAACTGTTATCCTGTCTGAGCCCTAACTTGTTGAATACTGACTGTAGGTGTAGCTAAACTATTGCTTCTCTCTACCTCCTGTGATGAAAATTATCTCAATATATTAGCAGATGAGCTAATCACAGCTGGAACAAACTAAGTAAGGAGTAGCTGAGTTGACATTCAAATTGAGTTTTTTCTGATGACAGAATGTTATTTACTTTATATGTATGCTTATGTGAATACACATATATGTATACATAATTATATATATATATATGTATATATATATATAAAAATGTAGAGAGGGAGGGAGAGAGCAGCTCTTGGCAATTTTCAATTAGAAGTAAGGGTATATGATCTTCTGTAATCTTTGAATGGAATGTATTTAATTCTGCAGTCAAAGATTTCATCTATACACTGAGAGAAACTAAAATATATGAGGCAGTTTACTGTTTAGATAGGTAAACAAATGTGGTCTTCAGTATCTAAAAATATGTAATAGGTTGGCATCCCTTTGCTGAGGCCTGCAATCCTAGCTACTCAGGAACCTGAGATCTGGTGTGTGGGTGGGGTGGGAAGGGTGTGTGTGGGGGGGTAGCAGTTCAAGGCCACCCAGGCAGAAAAGTCAATAAGAAGAATCTCTCTTCATCTCCAAAGTAACCAGCAAAAAGTAGGGCTGCAGGTATAGCTTAAGTAGTAGAGCACTAGCCAGCCAAGCAAGTGTAGAAGGGGCTTTACATTAAAAACCCAGTATTTTAAAAAGAAAAGAAAAAGGTATAGACGTAGTAGGACTGAAATAAGAAATAACCATATGTCACCAGCATACTGAATCTTTTTTTTTTCAGACTGAATCTTTTTATAATAACCTTCACTAAAATTTTTCTTTAATAATAGATTCAACCTGTTTAAGCCAAAAAAAAAGTGTTGTTTTGGCCTGTGTAGTTAGAATTAAACTTGATTGTGAAAGAGACTAGAGGTAGAGCTGGAAGGTGTTTGTGGATTCTATTTGTTTGCGAATATTGACAAATGTACAAACTAACTGATACCTACTGATGAAAATGTTTTGTTGTTACCCAGGAACTTTACTGTAAAAGATGAAAGAAGAGGACAGGGGTGTGGCTTCAGTGTTATGGTTGCTTGCCTGGCAGGACAAGGCCCTGGAGCTGAAACTCTAGGACATCAAGAAAAAAGTGAAAAGGAAAGACATGATTTTTAGATTGGTAGTAAGGTTTTCCTTATGTTTCCGGATAAGCTTTCAGATTAGAAGATGAAGAGCCAACAGTTTGTGAAGATTTTGCGTTGAAGAAAGCTGTTGACAGTATAGACTATAGTGCCTGCACGCAGGGTCTGTGAGGCTAGCATGTTTTTATTTTATGTGAAAAAGAAGTTTGGGATTTCAGTAGGAGTAAGAAAGAGGAAGGCTTGTTCATATGGCAGGTGGAGACACCAGTGCTCTCTGAGTGGGTATAGGGGCATTGCTGACTCTAGTAGATATTTGTTTCTGAGGTTCATGGCATGATGATGGTCAGTGATAAAGATCTGCACAGGTCACTCGAAACAAGGTAATGTGAATCTTTAAGCTCCATGAATTATGCTAGAAAAGAATACTTGAAAGCTGGATGACTTCAGAAAAATCATTTGATAAAATAACGACTAAAAAAATAAAAAAGCTCAGACTTAACTTTCTAATATAAATTCTTGTTGGTGTCATTCCACTTGAATCAGCTAATATTGTCGGATCTTTAAGCTGTTGATCTTAGGTGTATTTCTTAAATTGATGTAGAAATGTCTTGTCTACCACATGAGTATATGGATTCCTAGTACTAGGTTATATGCTAGAAGCTAATGGAACAGACTACACATGGAAGAAGGCATCTATTATAAATATATATATATATATATATAAATAGTTTTAGTATGATTCCATGGAGGAAGTTCAGGAGGCATGAGAGTGTGGGACTGAGTCTAGACTGAGAGGGAAATCATGAGATATCTGTTAAGGAGAGAAGGCCGGGAAGATGGCTGGGAAAGAAGGCACCAGAGCAGTATGGTTTCCCACCAAGAGACTGGTTTGCCAGATGAGCTTTTAAAGTTTGCCTGGAGTAGGAAGATGGTTCAAGTTGAGACCTGAGTGACAACAAGAGCAGCCATAATTATATGAAGCTAAAATAGATGGCCTTCTAGAATGTAGGATTATCTTTTCAGTAGTAGGTGGGAGTTTATGGTCCTAACTGTCACTTTGAACAAATTATTTTTGTTTGTGGATTTTTTTTCCCTTTTAAAATCATTAGGTTGGTTTTTGACATATAACAACTCATTCCAAGTAAAGGATGACCTGGGTTCAGTTACTTGTGCCTCATACCTGTTAATAGAACTCAGGAGTCTTAAGCTCTGAGGGTCAAGGTTCAAAGCCAGCCTGGGCAGAAAAGAAGAAATTTTAATTAACCAGCAAAAAAGCTGGTTTAGGTAGTAGAGCACCAGTTGTGCTCAAGCAAACCCAGCAAGTATGAAACACTGAGTTTAAGCCCAAACAAAGTATGACCTGAAAGGCCAGCTTAGTAGTGAAATTTGAAGATCAAACTCATGTGCCTGGATCTGTCCAGTATATGAAGTGAAGGAAAAAAAAAACACAGAATATATGTGGGTTGTGTAAAATCACAGGGCTGGTAAGTGGTAGAAAGGCAGTTATGATGCTGCTCTTCTAAATGGTGGACAAAACCCAAGAAAAGGGAATTAGGGCTTTGCTGTATGACTTGTTTGTAAACAACTCCATAACAGATTACAAAGGCCAGCCAGCTGTTTAGGGCTTGATTAATGAGCATGCCCTCGCAGGAGGTGTCCAACTAGAGTATTTGAAAGTCTGTGGACTTAACAAATATCTCTTTTTTGTTTAAGCCCATCTGGAAAACTTGTTCAGATTGAATATGCTTTGGCCGCTGTAGCTGGAGGAGCCCCTTCTGTAGGAATTAAAGGTAATTATTGTAATTTATTTCACGCGCTTGCTAAACATTTATGCTGTTTGTGAAGTTAATAATTAATTTTTAAATGAATGGTTGTGGCAGCATGTTTTCTAACAGCCATTTTTTGTTGTTGATTTGGAGTATTTTGAAGTGAAAAGAAAATAGTAATTAGCCTACTGAGGTGATTAAAATTTCTAAGAGTAAAAGTAGGGCCTTTTGTCTACTATTTGTGATAAGCCAGTAGTCTTTTCCATCCAGAAAGTTGAGTATTCTTGCCTTTCCATTGATTGTCTGATCTGTAGCTCCTTTATCCTTCCTATAATTAAGGAAGGGTCAACTATAAAATGCAATGTAAGAATGTTATAATTATTTCTTTCCCTAGAAAAGAAAAAATCTTACTTCATGTTACTAGTATAGTTAGCAGGTTGGCAAAAATCTGTTCTTGTAAAGACTGCATACTCACAAGTATTTCAGAATACTTGAAGAGAGGATAGGTAATACCTTTAGTTGTGGGGATTTTAAAAAATATTTTTTATCAGTGAGGGAAACATTGGTTATCATTCCATACAGAATTTTGATTGTGAGAATTCAGAAGGAATTTTATATGATTTAGAGAAAATGGTGTGTTTGTATTGTTCATGTATCTGTAATCAGAAAGTTACTGAAGTACTGCCTTTTCATGGTTAAATGTTGAGATCTGTTTTTGTTTTGTTTTAGCTGCAAATGGTGTGGTTTTAGCAACTGAAAAGAAGCAGAAATCGATCCTGTATGATGAACGAAGTGTACACAAGGTAGAACCCATCACGAAGCATATCGGCTTGGTGTACAGTGGCATGGGCCCAGACTACAGGTATTTCATACTGCTATGGTCTCTCCACCATCACGAGTGGACCCTAATCTCTGTGTTGAGGGGGAGTGTTAAGTTGGTTTCTCTAGTCTATTTATTCATCAGCGGCAGCCTCTTTGAAGGTTATGTGTAAGTTACTTTAAAGAAGTTAAAGCCATGTTCCTGATTCCTATAGCAGCTACTCCTTACTGTGTTTCTAAACTTTTCCTTCTGGTTATACCACTCTCCCTATTCTACCACCCAAGAACTGGTGTAAAGGATATTCATGTTACCTTACACACTTTACAAATGACAGGAGAGATACATGTTCTTGATAAATTACCTTTTAAAAGTACCAGACAGTGAAAACTTACCACTTGGAACTATTTCACACCTTTACCTCTGTTCTTGTCAGAAGTGTGGCCACCAGCAGGATCAGGAAGGAACTTATGACATCTCCACCCCTCTGTATTTCACAGTAAGGGAGTGCATTCAGTTATATTGGGGTTCTGGCCAGCTTATGTTTGTCATTGAAAAAGTGCCTCAGTGGATAGTCACTGACAGCATGGACTTAGAAGGTAGAGGGCAGTGAGTGTAGTTCAGAGGGCTTTTAGTCTGTCTCAGTTACAGTTCAGTCATACCTAAGCAGGTGAAAGTGATTCCATAGTATATTCTTAATATCTTTTGACAAATTCTGTATTTTTAGTTAAAAGTAAGTGTGTGTGTGTGTGTGTGTGTGTGTGTGTGTGTGTGTGTGTGTGTGTGTGGTGGCTGGGGTGAAATACAAAATGACAAGCTGACTGCTTTGGGGTTAGAGGAACAAACTTGAAGATGCCCTGGAAGGAGATGAAGCTTCTGTTACTTTTAAAGACTTGTCCCTTGGTCTGTACTTTCTTTCCTCTTTTCTTTGTTCTTGTCAGTCTCCTACCATCCAGTCCTTTTGTACTTTCTTTTACTTTCTGGTACTTTCTTTTAAAGCAACTGGAGTCCCATGTAAGACTAAGCAGATAGTTGTTAAAGGTACAGGTTAGTGCCAGATGCTGGTGGTTCATACCTGTAATTCTGGCTACTCAGAAAGCTGAAATCTGAGGATCGCAGTTCAGATCCAGCCTAGGCAGGAAACTCCATGAGACTCTTATCTCCAATTAACCACCGAATAGCCAGAGTGGAGCTGTTGCTTAAGTGGTAAAGTACTAGCCTTGAGCCAGAGAGCTCAGGGACAGTGCTCATGCCCTGAGTTCAAGCCCCAGGACTGGCACCAAGAAAAAAATAAGAGGTTAGTTTGTGCTGCATATATCATAGCGGAAGAGCATCTGAGTTCTGACTACATCTTTCTTCTTGGTTGTTAAGAGTGCTTGTGCACAGGGCTCGAAAGCTCGCCCAGCAATACTATCTCGTTTACCAAGAACCCATTCCCACGGCTCAGCTGGTTCAGAGAGTAGCTTCTGTGATGCAAGAATACACCCAGTCTGGGTAAGTTGCTTTTAGTACTTGAAATGGGTCATGAGTTAGAAGGAGGAAAAAAAACAACAACCAAAAACATTAAGAAAGGTAGAGTGGATGTATAAATAGAAGACTTAACTATTTCCTATATTTTCTTCCCAAATGGAGAAAGTCACTGTGATGTATGTTTCTGATCTTGATGTAAAAATCTTCTTAGGGTGAAAAATGTTTCTCAATCATGGAGCAGTAGAAAGCAGCTTCTAGGTAAACAGTCTTTTCCCAGTGATTAAAACACCTATGGGGCAGATAGCCATTACTGCCTCTGCACCTTTCCATTGGGACAATGAGCTCATAGCAAAACAGACTCTGTAAATCTATGGTGTTCATAAATTCAGGTGTGAGTGGGACAGTTAAAGGTTGATAAATAAAAAAGTTGATATATAAAGCCAGTAGAAAAGCTGTACATTATTACCTAAAAGTTGTCATTTGTTAGGACATAAAATGTTTGGTAGTAACCCTATTATGTTTAGATTAAAAGTATACAATCATCTGTGTTGGTCTAGCAATGTTGCCGAGGCTCGATACTTTGCAAAGAAACCAGCTTTATTTAGCTCACAGTTCTGGAGATCTGAGCATATAGTACTGGTATCTGCCTCCTAGTAGCTATTGAAAGAGAGATCAGTAGTGGAAGAGAATGGGAAGGGGCTGACCTCATCTGTTTAAAAACCACTCTTGCAGGAAATAATCCTCTCCTGCAAGACTTAGCTCACTCCAAGAGCAGCATCAGTCTACTCCTAGAATGGTGCCTTTGACCTACTACCCTGTACTAGGTTCCACTGCTCAAAGATCCACCCCTCTCAGTGTGACAGTGGGAACCAGCCTTCTATACCTGATCCTGGGGGGACAGACCCTACAAAGGTGTCACTCCATTTAGCCCAAAATTATTAGAGCTTCTCTCACTTCCCTGATAAGAATTCATTTTTAATTGATTCATTTAGAAAAGTTAAGTTATAAGTCTAACCGCTTACTTTGTCATTTGTTTTACTTGAGAGTATTGACATAATCTTGCTAGAGGATGATTTGGAAACTATGAGCATTGCAAATAATTTTCATATTCTTTTCTACAGAGGTGTTCGTCCATTTGGCGTTTCTTTGCTTATTTGTGGTTGGAATGAGGGGCGACCATACTTATTTCAGTCAGATCCATCTGTAAGTATCATTAGGTGTTTTTGAAGGACTTGTTAAAAATTGCTTTTTGAATATCCAATAAAAATAGAAACATAAAGGTATGACAGCATTTTCTCTGTTTTGTTTTCATTTGGATTGCAGAAAGTATAAAGTAGCTCAAATTTATTGGCACATTTAGAATTTTAGTAATTCCATCTTTTAAGGAGACTCCAACCAGATTAGTTTTGCCCTCAGTTTTCCTGCCTACTTCAGTAATGTCCCAAATTTGGATGACTTGAAGTAGTTGTTATCAAATCTCATTTGCCCTGTGGACAATGCAGTTAAAGATGTGGACCTGGAGGGCAGTGCTGGATCATATCTCTCAAATTAAAACTGACTTGAGTGAAAACTGATCTGTTTTGAATTTAGGGCTTTTGACCTTAGTGTGGTTAATATCTTGGGTGACTGGTAAAGCAGCAGATCGGTAGCTGGGTTAGGAAGTATTTTCAGAGTAAAAGTCACTCCACACTGTCCCATTTGCTGAGAAGAACCTTAAGAAAAAAATAAAATTGAGCACTAGTTGTTAGGAAAATGGAGGAGAAAGAAATAGGCTGGACTCTTTATCTTTTAAAAAAATTATTTTTAATTGTGAAAATACTGTACAGAGGGGTTACAATTACATGGGCAAGATAATGAGTACATTTCTTATCAAGCATTGTAGCCTCCTCCTTGGTTTCCCCTTTCCATCCTATCTTCCCCCTACCCCCCAACCCAACCCTCCTCCCCGCCCCTACCAAAGTTGTAAAGTTCATTTTCGACAACGACTTGTATGTCTCATTGTTGCAATGGGTCCACCTGTATCCCTATTTAAATGATTTGTTTTTTCCCTTCTGGACTCTTTATCTTGACAGACAAGAACTGTTTATTGAGGAACAGCGAAAGGCAGGCAACCTTCCTATGGAATCTGAGGTTGTGCAAGGAGGTCGAGTTGGGGTCAGGCTTATATTGGACTTAATAAAGAAATAGAAAATAAAGACCAGGCTGTGACCTTGGCCAAGCCCAGAATGGAATGCTCCACTCGGGGTGAAGGAACTTTCAGCTAAGGCAGGGTCACAATGACCTGCCTGCTGTCCTTCACAGGAGCATCCACCTGGTGTTTTGCTTAACTGAGGGGAATAAGTCAGGGATCAGTCCTTCTCTAGTAATTGATCTGTCACAGATTGCTGTATAATTGCAAATTGACCAAAGACAAACCTGGCACTCTTGCCTTACTAATTTAAAAGGCAAAAGAAATATTGGGAGTCGTTTCATTTAGTATATGTGTATGTATGTGTTTTCCAGCATTGAAGACTATATGTTGAGTATTCAGTGTTACTGCTGCTTTTATTTGTACCTCAGATTATACAATGTCAAAACTTTTGAGTGTTTTTAATGAAAATCTGTCTTGTTAGTTTCTTCAGTAATGATGAATTGATCACCATTTTTCTGATTTACTTCCCAAGTTTTTATGTCTTTTGTATGCATTGAGCTAAAATTATGCCCTTCTTATTTGTTTCGCCAACCTCCCTTTCCTTGTTAGCTGGTTTTTAAACAAAGCTTCCCCACAGTAAATGGCACTAAAATAACCTATTCTGTGACATTTCCATTCCATCTCAGTAAATGTTCTTCTGTCCAGGCCAGTTATAGGGATAAAAGACAAATGGCTGGGTGATATTGTTTGAGTGTTTTCACTGAGGCTCTTTCCCTCCATTTCTAGGGAGCATACTTTGCCTGGAAGGCCACAGCAATGGGGAAGAACTACGTGAATGGGAAGACGTTCCTTGAGAAAAGGTATTTTCTCACTTGGGTGGGTACAGTGGCCTCATGGTTTTCTGCACTCCTCAGACTGTTCATTTCATGGATGTGTGACTGTTTGAACCTACTTATATATGGGTAAAGGAATATAGAAATGACCACCATTTCTATATTCTTCCAATTGTTTTCTAATGTTTTTTTTTCACATTTCCCCCACCATTTAAAAAAAATAGTACTTAGAGTAGGGAAAATTGAAAAGGATTTAATGATTACAACTCCTATGACAATGAAAGGGATGTTAGACCAAATATTTGGTATTAAGCAGATGAAATGCAGATTGTGTGGTAATTGCAGTTCCCTCTATAAACCTTGAGCAGATTAAGGACTTTTTACTAATCATTAGAAATATCTTGGTAAGGTTTTTTTTTTGTTGTTTGTTTTTTAATTTCAGTTCTGGGTTTAAATTCAGAGACTCATACTTGGAATTGTTATACTTGAGCCACTCTCTCAGCCCTTTCTTGCTTTAGCTTTTTTCTAGATAGGGTCTTGGACTTTACACTTGTTTTTTTTTTTTTGGGTCCGGTTGTGGGCCTGAACTCTGGGCCTGGGCACTGTCCCTCAGCTCTTCAGCTCACGGCAAGCGCTCTACCACTTGAGCCACAGCACCACTTCCGGCTTTTTTCCTTTTTGCTTATGTGGTGCTGGGGAATCGAACCCAGGGCCTCATGCATGCAAGGCAAGCACTCTACCACTGAGCCACCTTCCCAGCCCTGGACTTTACACTTGGGACTAGCCTCAGACTTCTGTCCTTCTACCTACTTATACCTCCTGAGCTACAGTCCTGCAATCTCTTGCCCAGCCCTTGCTTATTGTATATGTTGGTATGTGTGTGCTTGTCAGAGAACAAAGCATTGTAAACTATGCCGTCAGCACTGTTCACCTATTCCATCTGTATTCTGGACTCGGTGTACTCCCTGTTGCCAAGAAATTTGTTTATAAACTTCTCACAGCTGACCCTTAATGTGATGCTTACCAAAGATCTTAGACTTACTTAATCTTGGGATCATAAAGTACTTTCTTTTAACTTCTATTTATTGAATCTTCAAAACATTTCACATGCTATGTTCATAATAGCTTATAAGAATAAAAGATTTTTAAAAAAAGAATTAAAGATTTCATCCAGTTGCCCATGACTCCCTTAGCTACTCAGGATGCTGAGATCTGAGGATTGAGGTTCAAAGCCATTCTGGGCAGAAAAATTCCTGACAGTCTTATATCCAGTTAACCAGCAAAATGCCAGAATTGAAGGTGTACCATAAGAGGTAGAACACCAGTCTTGAGCAAAAAGGCTTACGTGAGAGTATGAGGCCCTAAGTTCAAGTCCTAGTACCAGCAGGTATGGAAGACAAAGATTTCAGCTACTGCCTGATTTTTCTGTCATTCTTCTTTAATTTGTATAAGACTGCCATTAAAATCCCAATTATAAGAAAGTATTTCTACTGAAGAATTTTCCTAAAATAAACTCATTTCAGAATTATATTTCTTTTTGTGATGTTCTGATGTTGGGGACCAAGCACCACATAATTGTCAAGTTCTTATATTCAGGGTATCTGTCTCGATGGGATAAATATGAAATTAATGTATAATTAGAATTTTTAAGAGTGTTTTAGATTCATAAGAAATCTTAGATGGTTGCAATATTGCTTCTAAAATAGCCATGAAGAATATAACATTGGCCAGGCACCAGTGGCTCATGCCTGTAATAATCCTAGATATTCAGGAGACTGAGATCTGAGGATCGTGGTGCAAAGCCAGCCTGGGCAGGAAAGTCCATGAGACTCTTATCTCCAATAAACCACTCCGAAAACTGGTAGTGGCGCAGTGGCTCAAGTGGTAGAGTGCTCAACTTGAGCTGAAGAGCTGAGGGACAGCTCCCAGGCCTAGAGTTCAAGCCCCATGACCAACCAAAAAAAAAAAAAAAGAATATGACATTGCCATGAAGTCATTGTCCTTTACATTTTTTTCTTCTTTAGATATAATGAAGATCTGGAACTTGAAGATGCTATTCATACAGCCATCTTAACCCTAAAGGTTAGTTAGCCCCATGTCTGCCAACTGGATTTATAATGGGATGCTTGGAAAATTGACTGTTTTTCTTCTTCATCTTCAGGAAAGTTTTGAAGGGCAAATGACAGAAGATAACATTGAGGTTGGGATCTGCAACGAGGCAGGCTTCCGGAGACTCACCCCCACAGAGGTGAAGGATTACCTGGCTGCCATTGCATAAGAGGACAGGGCTGAGCAGCCCCAATTTCACAAATCGATGTAAACATATTTAAAGTATGTTTTGTTTCGAAGACTTTTTGCATACTTATTTCTACATGGTTTAATGGACTGATGTTTTTAAAACAACACAAATCATAATAAACAGTTAAATCCAATGTCCTGCTTTTTAGGAGTAAGTAAAGTTTGAACAATTTATTCTTGGCTTTTTACCAGTTTATCTTTGGAACCTCCATGGCAAAGGTGAATGATGAGATTACTCTGTAGTTCCCAGGAACTTTGACTAAGTCAGATTTTTGTTACCCCATTTGTAGATGCTCCCTGTGTTAACTATAAACTACTGGTTTTGACAAGTATCACTGTAGTTAGAGCTAGGAGCATCTGCAGCTGTTAAGGAATTTACACGTGTGATAATGTGAGGGTGTTAGGCCCAGATCCAGAGGGCCCTGTGTAGCTGTACCGGATCTTTGTATTTCCATATCTGGAAGACACTGCAGTTTACTGATTCTTGTTGGTTTCTCTGTCACAAGTAGGTGAGTTTATTTAAAGGAGACCCCTCCACCCCCCAGATTATAGCAGCCCTTTTTAACTGAAGGAAATAAAATACTAATAGTAAATGTTTGAAGATGTGTGATGAGGCTCCCTTCATTACTGTGATCTCCATTCATCAGAACCTTCACTGTAAAGAAGGTCCTTAGAAGCAAGTAGGATGCTGGACACCAGTGGTTCCCACCTGTAATCCTAGCTACTCAGAAGGCTGAGATCTGAGCGTTGTGGTTCAAAGCCACCCAGGCAGGAAAGTCTGTGAGACCCTTATCTCCAATGAACTACCAGAAAATGAAGTGGCACTGTGGTTCAAGTGGTAGAGGCCTTCCTTGAGCTGAAGAGCTCAGGAACAGTGCCAAGGCCCAGAGTTCAAGCCCCATGACCAACAAAAAAGCAAGTAGGTAGTGGCATCTGAACTCAGGTTTTCTGTGTGAAAAAGTTCTTGTTTCTTTGCCCCTGCCCTACTCAGGCAGACATCTTGGGATAGAAGAACGATAACATTATTTTACACAGAACAGCGTGTCATTGTTCTTGCCAACATGAAGGAGTAGTAGACAATTCCATGAATTAAATGTAGCATAAGAGATTTTGTAACATAAGAGGTTTTGTTGAGCTTAGTTAACTAGAGTGGCCTTGGATCATTTGCCTGGTCCAGCTACATTGGATAAAAAAGACCTAGGGTTTGCTCCCAACTAGACTTCTAAGCAGTCTACATTTTCAGTCCTCTCTGGTGTTGTGCTTTCTGAATAATTTGCTTAATCTCCCCCTTTGGCAGCAATTTTCTTCATATGGAAGCTGGTTGGGCCTCTGTGGATCAGTTATTTGTAAAGTGTACATCTACCTTTTAAGTTAAGAGTCTAAATAGTCAGCATAAACCACTTAGAACAGTGATTAAGGTGTTCCTGCCTTCTGAAAATGTGCCATAGATACAATAGTGTACCTAGTCTGCAGTACTCACTTCCTGTTGTGTTTGCCTTTTATTTCTCCTTAGCATTTCTTTCCTGTCATTTAGGTTGGGCTTGGAGAAGGAACAGGATATGTAGGATTCAACTGGAAGTGTTCCTATAATATTTCAAATTGGCTTTATGGCCCAGCCCCAGTGGCTCACACCTGTAATCCTAGCTACTCAAGAGGCCGAAAGTCTGGGCAGGAAATTACTAAGCCACCACAAAAAACGTCGGAGGTGGAGCTGTGGCTCCAGTGATAGAGAGCATTTTTTTGTTCATAAAAGCTAATAAGCACAGCATCCAGGCACTGAGTTCAAGCCCCGGGAGCAGCAAAAAGTAAAATAGCTGTCTCAAAGCTGCTCTTTCTGGATGGTTTTGGACAGCATAGCGCACAGTGTACAGATCAGGGTGGGGCCATGGGAAGGGCTTTGATAGGAGAGCTTCCCAAGCCTGTAGTGTGTTCCTCCTGTTGAAGTGAAGCAAATGCACACTTGGGAGAAGTCCGGAGCCCTTAACAAATATGGCCGCCATGCTGGCTTCAGCCCGGCTCGGCGGGCCGCGCTGCCGCCTGGGAATCGCCGGCTCGGCGTCACCCTGCCCGGAACC